TGGAGTTGATAACTTAAAACAAATAAGGCATCATTATAACTTTGCTGGCTTTTTTTTGGCAGAGACTTTTTCCATACATTCAAATAAACTATGAACCTTAAATAAAACAAAAGTCCAGACGTTGTGACAGTAGCAGACAGGCTGGTCTCATTTATACTAATCAGCAATAATCGTCGTCCCAGCAGCTCAGCTGTAGCTCACAGCCCATCAGAGTCTGTCATCAGGCCTCTCACAGCTCCAAGAGCGAGGCTTCAGTAGCTCAAAAAAGGAAGGCTGGAACAAAAATAACACAATTAAAAGCTGAATTTGTGTCGACTGAATAACTGAATTTCACTGCATCTTTGGAAAGAATATACATCATGTGATTTTTATAAGCAGTACCTCCTTCAGGGGACAGTAGCGCTGGGCATACCACTCCTGAGAGTACAGACAGATAATGACTCCCTGACCCAGGAACAGGGACGTCCACATGATTATGTTCCAGATGGGGCCTTTCCTTTTGTCATGCAAAATGAAGTTGAACATCACTGTGAGAGGACAAAGAGAAGATAAGAGTGGAAGGATAATGAAAAACTGACATACAGATTTAACTTGACGGGGTTTACGCGACCCAGACATGATACCACAATCATCTGATGCAGTACAACTCAAGTAATATCCTTTTTATTAAAGGCGACAAAGTCTCTTACTTCCAAAGCACATGAAGAGGCAGAAGAGCACAGGATAGAAGAAACCAAAGCAAATTGCAAGAATGTACTCATGAACCACTGCAGACACTGTAAACACGAACAGCATGGCGGCTGGTCGGCAGCGTTTCTGAGACATCTGGAAACAGAGAGAGCAGACACATAAACACAAATGTTAAAAAACAAAACGCACAATCCACATTAAGATTTAAAGTCTTTTAAAGTACAGCGTGTAAAGTTCTCACTGCTGGATGCCACTGGATTACAGACTGCAGTCTGAGGTTTATATGAGCTCTGACGACTGCTGTTCGACAAACATGTTTTAGTCACTGGACTTTGTTAGTGAATAAACTCATAAAAGGCAAGAATGCAATCCAACTGTTTAACAGAGGGAAAGTCTGATTTTTAGGACACTT